GTAAGAAACCAAGAGAAGAAAGGAACAGAGAGGAATTACAAAACAGATGAAAAACAATTAATAAAATGGTAATAAGTACATACCCATCAATTTCTTTAAATGTAAATGGGTCAAATTCTCCAATCAAAAGGCAGAAAGTGGATGAATGGATAAAGAAACAAGACCCATCTATCTGCTGCCTGTAAGAGACTCACTTCAGATATAAGTACACACATGGACTGAAAATGAAGGATGGAAAAAGAGGTTTCAAGCAAATGGAAACCAAAAGAAAGCAGGGGTAACTATACTGACATCAGACAAAACAGATTCAAAGCAAAGACTATAGTAACAGACAAAGAGGGGCATTAAATAATGATAAAGAGGTAAATCCAGCAGAAGATATAACATTTGTCAGTATTTATGTACCCAATGGAGAAACACCTAAATACATAAAGCTAACACCAACAGACCTAAAGGGAGATAATGACAGGAATAAAATAATACTAGGGGACTTTAATACCTCACTTATATCAATGGATAGATCAGCCAGACAGGAAATAATAAGGAAACATCAAACTTAAACAACATATTAGATGGAATAATGGATATATATAGAACATTCCATCCAAAAACAGCAGAATACACTTTCTTCTCAAGTACACATGGAACATTTTCCAGGATAGATCATATGTTAGACCACAAAACATGTCTCAGTAAATTAAAGACTGAAATCATATCAAGCATCTTTTCTGAACACAATATGAAACTAGGAATCAATTACAAGAGGAAAACTGCAAGAATCAGAAATATGTGAAGATGAAACAACATACTACTGAACAACCAATGGGTCAATGAAGACATCGAAAAAGAAATTAAAAAATACCTTGAGACAAATGAAAATGGAAATACAACACACCAAAAAAAAGAAAATAAATACAACACACCAAAATCTATTGGATGCAGCAAAAGCAGTTCTAAGAGAAAAGTTCATAGAGATAGTTAAGAAGAAAAATCTCAGATTAACAATCTAACATTACACCTAAAGGAACTAGGAAAATATGAACAGATGAAGCCCCAAATTAGTATAAAAAAGGAAATAATAAAGATGAGAGTGAAAAGAAATGAAGTTGAGACTGAAAAGAAATAGAAAAGACCAATGAAACTATGAGCTGATTCTTTGAAAAGATTAACAAAATTGACAAACCTTTAGCTAAACTAAGAAAAAGAGAGGGCTCAAATAAATAAAATCAGAAATTAAAGAGAAGTTACAATTGATACCAAAGAAATCCAAAGGATCATAACAGACTACTATAAACAATTATACACCAAAAAATTGAACAATTTAGAAGAAATGGATAAATTCCTAAAAACATACAATCTTCCAAGAGTGAATCATGAAGAAATAGAAAATCTGAATAGATTGATTACTAGTAAGGAGATGGAATCAGTAACTTAAAAACTCCCAACAAAAGTCCTAGACCAGACAGCTTCACTGGTGAATCCTACCAAACATTTAAAGATTTAATATCCATCCTCCTTATACTCTTCCAAAAAACTGAAGAATAGGGAATGCTTCCAGACATGTTTTATGAAGCCAACATTACCCTGATATCAAAACCAGAGAAGGACACCAAAAAAATTAATTAATTTTAAAAATTATAGGCCATATCAGATATCCCTGATGAACATACATGTAAAAATCCTCAAAAAATATTAATAAACTGAATTTGACAATACATTATAAGGATTATACACCATGATCAAGTGGTGTTTATTCCAGGGATGCAAGGACGGTTCAACATCTGCAAATCATTCAACATGATATACCACATTAACATAATGAAAGATAAAAATCATATGATCATCTCAATAGATACAGAAAAAGCATTTACAAAATTCTTTTATGATAAAAACTCTCAACAAAGCAGGTATATGGCCACTGAAAGGACATATATGACAAGCCCACAGCTAACATCATACTCGACAGCGAGAAGCTAAAAGCTTTCCCTCTCAGTAATATGACCAGGATGCCCACTCTCACCGCTCTTAGCCAGAGCGATCAGGCAGGAAAAAATATAAAAAGCATACAATTGGAAAGGAAGAAGTGAAACTGTCACTATTTGTAAGTGACATGATTTTATATAATGAAAACCCTAAAGACTCCACCAAAAAACTGTTGGAACTATTAACTGAATCCAGTAAAGTTGCAGGGTACACAATCAATATAAAAAAATCTGCTGCCTTTTTTATACACTAACAATGAACTATCAGAGAAAAATTAAACCAATTCTGTTGACAAGTCCATCAAAAAGAATAAAATACCTACAAATAAATTTAGCCAAGGAGGTGAAAGACTTATACACTGAAAACTCTAAGACGCTTATTAAAGAAATTGAAGATGTAAATAAATGGAAAGATATTCCATGTTCATGGATTGAAGAATTAATATTGTTAAAACAGCCAAAGCAATCTATAGATCCAATGCAATCTCTAACAAAGTTCCACTGTCATTTTAGAGATAGAACAAACAATCCATTTGAATGAAACCACAAAAGATCCCAAATAGCCCAAGCCATTTTGAAAAAGAACAACAAAGCTGCAGGCATCATGCTCCCTGATTTCAAACTATCCTACAAAGCTATAGTATTCAAAACATTGGCATAAAAACAGATATATAAATCAATGGAACAAAGTAGAGAGCCCAGGAATAAACCCATGCATATACGGTTAATTAATTTATGGCAAAGAGGCAAAACTATTCAAGGGGAAAAGGCCAATAAATGGTGTTAGGAAAACTGGACAGTCACATGCAAAAGAATGAAAATGGACCACTATCTTACACCACATATAAAAATTAACTCAAAATGGATTAAAGACCTGAAACCATAAAACTCCTAAGAGATAACATAGAAAACAGATAGACATACATACATACTATGGAGTATTATTCGGCCACGAAAAGAAGATCCTGCCATTTGCAACAACATGGATAAAACTTGAGAGTATTATGCTAAATGAAATGAGTCAGATAAAGACATATACTGTATGACCTTACCTATAGTGGGATCTAAAAAAAACTGAACTCACAGAAACAGAGAGTTGACTGGTGATCACTAGAGACAGGGAAAGGCAGCACTAGAGGGAAATGGGTGATGGTGGTCTAAGTGTGCAAACTTCCAGTTATAATATGAATAAGTTCTGGGGAATGTAATGTACAGTATGGGGACTATGTACTGTAGCTTATATTTGAAAGATGCTAAGAAAGTAGATCTTAAAAGTTTTCAAGACACAGAACTGTAACTGTGTGAGGTGATAGATATGTTAACTAACCTCACTGTGGCAATCATTTTACAATATATCCATATATCAAATCATCATGTTGTACACCTTAAACTTACACAATGTTATATGTCAACTGTATCTCAATAAGCTGGAAAAAAAAAGAGAAAGAATTGAAGACTGGTTAAAAAAAAAAAAAATGCCTGGCCAAGGTAACCGACAGCTGGATGTTAATGCATCCCCATCTATGCATCCATCAATTCACAAGAAAAATATCTGGGCCTCTTCAGGTTTGTAATCTATAGAAAAGTCTTCACTGAATTTATGTTTTTTATGTTCTATCTCCTTTATTTAAAATCAAAAATAAAACATTTTATTATTTTATATAATAAAAGACCAGATAAAGAACCTTCTGTATATTCTATAAAACCACTGTTAGACACGACCTGTTACACTGTTTAATATTCCTCATATAAGGGTGGACATGACTGACTTAACAGAATTCAGTTCCAAGAAAAAGTTGATCTTCTCTTTGATTGTTATTTCCCTTTAACACATAATAAGAATTTTATAACCTCCATGTTATACTTTTCCTTTGTTGCCAGAAGCTAAAAACAAAAAATATATTCAAGTACAGTAAATACAATAGTTACCTAAAGTTTTGTTATAATTTCCCTATTTCTGTATAATAATTTTACTGAACATGTGTTTTCTAATATAATCCTGACTAGAGCAACAAATAATGAAATGATAAATAAATAAATGTAGCTGAGGTATGATTAACAAACAATAAATTCAGCAAAATGACTCTAGTACTGGCTTTGTATTTACATTGTTTCAACCTCTAGGAGGAGGACTGACAGCATAAAGGGCTTCCATCTTTCCAAAACCTCATGTCTAACTCAGCTCCCTGCCTTCTTCAGTCCATCTCACAATGCCTTACACAGCATAGTAATTTTCTTACATTGACCGCCAATTAAATCAATAATCATTTTTCCTTTGAGGGAAAGGGAAAACTAAAATAAATCATTTTTAATTCTAGAGACATCTGTTCTGAGAAAACAGGTTGTTATTTTCCAGAGATGTGGTTCCTTGGCTCACGGTGATGCTTTCTGTTCTGTCGGGAGAGCTGAATCTCTAGCACCTAGAGCGGCATCTGCGCAGCGCAGGCCCTCAACAAACAGCTGGATGAATGAATAAACTATTATTAATACACTACCCTTTGTTTTAGGACATATAATAATCAAGGAAATCTGTGATTTCATTTTAACTCCTTTTTAGCCTATTATTATCAAGGTGCTGCTCAGAATCAGTAAGGAAATTATGAATCAGACCAGATGCCACTGCAATCAATACTGTATAATTTTGGGGGCGCCTGGGTGGCTCAGTAGTTAAGCGTCTGCCTTCGGCTCAGGTCATGATCCCAGGGTCCTGGGATCGAGCCCCCCCATCGAGCTCCCTGCTCGGCGGGAAGCCTGCTTCTCCCTCTCCCACTCCCCCTGCTTGTGTTCCCTCTCTCGCTGTCTCTCTCTGTCAAATAAATAAATAAAACCTTAAAAAAAAAAGAAACTGTATAATTTTTGTAAATTCTATTTTTTTTCAATGTTGTTAGAGCCTCGGGTCATTTATACTTTATATAAAACTAAAAAAAAAAATGAAAGCCCCATGTTTTATGCCATAAATGTTATATCGGGCCTTACTAAAACATTATGAATTTTCATTAAAAACACCCAAAAACCTACCTTCTCTTTTAAAAGTCGAAAGAGAATCCATGGTATTATGCACAAAACATAGAGTACTATTGTATGCTGATTACATAAACTAAGGCCACAGCAGAAAGCACCAATTTTAGCTATCTGAAAAAAGAAAAAAAAAAAAAACCTAAGTTAAAAATTTACCTAAAACTCTTAAGTAAGCACAATAGTAAAAAGTTATTCTTTATATGAGAACCAAGCATTTGTACCATAGGTCAGGCTAAAGTCAACCTCTTAGACACAGGCTTGCTTCCACAGACACTAATATTTAGCACCATTACTTTTTTTTTTATAATATTGTCCATTCTCATCGCATCACTGCAGTTTGACCTGAAATGACTGCCTTCAAAGTAAGTTTTAGAAAGTCCTGCATGATAACTGGGTAAGTCCTACCAGTAATAAGATATTGTGTAATTCTTACTAAAGTCTGTAACTAAAACTCAGGCACTCTTTCCATTTTACTTTTTCTCCTATTAAATTAAATACATAAAATAGAACACTTTTTATTTAAAAACCAGGTTATGGGTGCTGTTTTTGCTCTTTTGAACATGTGCAATTTTCATAATCAGAAAAAAGTTTACTTTAGACAAAAAATGAACTCTAATAGCAGCACAGATCTGTTTATAGGCACCACTGATAAACCATGTATTCTTCTGTCTGTATATTCTTCAACAACAAAAGGCTGCCTTTACTAAAATGGTTTGGTACCTCCCAATGTGTAGATTGTAAGCTCTTAGAAGACAGGGTTCCTTCACGTTTCAAATGATCTTGGTATTAGTGTTTGCCTTATAATTCACTGGAAACTCTTCCGAACTACTTCATTTATATATTTGATACTCTTAGTTTAAAAAAAAAGTACAAATTTGGTCTTTTTTTCAATTAGAGAGTAAGTCGATGTACCATAATGGTATATAATTTAAGGTGGTCAATCCAGAGCTTGGCATCTAACGATCACACTAACACACACACACGCACGATGGTGAAATTAACCAACAAGCCCATCTTTCCCATAGGACTCAGAGGGGATTTCAATCCTCTCATTCTCCAAAAAACTTTTGAACTCTGGGAGAAAAAAAAAGCTCCATGGTTTATAAAGGCTATCATGGTTCACAGTAAAAGAACTCAGAATATTTTCTCTCTCAACATGCCTAAATTACCTCAGCAGTAATCAAGACAGATAAACAGCATCCGAAGTTAAAAAGAAATACAGCATCTGTCTAAAAATTAAAACAAAAAGTGATTTCACTTTGATCAAAATAGGTTACCTTTGATCTTTCTTTTGCAGTTGCTGCCTCCTCAAAATGTACAGTAAGAGCCATAAGCAGCCCCACAAACAGATTGTTTAAGCTAAAAACCTCTGCTGCAATGGACCACTGCCATGTTAGACGAGAAAATGAAAACACCCCCGCAGCAAGGATTCCTCCAGCATGTGAGCCAGAAAGCCTGCAAATACAGATAACATGAAATCTTCTTTCCCAACAAAAAGAACTGACTTTCTTTTCCTTTTTATAAACTGTAGCAGCAGAAATTATGAGTCACCCAGCACTATCCCAACACATTATATGGCTAATACATTACTTCGTATAATAATTTCTTCCAACAGATTTTAATTAGGAAGTCCATATGTTAACTTATTAACAAACAAAGGAACAAACCTCCTCAGTCTCCTATGGACTGAATGAGGTTTAGTTCTCAGATGGAACCTCTAGGATTCAAGCCAATTCAGAAAGCCTGAAGAGACAGTAGCTAGAGAGATTACAAACCTGTATCACTTCTCTTGCTCTATGGAAATATGTTGAATTGTAAGAATTAATGAAATGGCAAAATATCCGTTCAGGAACACTCATTCTCACTTCTCGTGGAATGTTTGGGCCTAGGCACTTTCCACACGATCACACCAAAGTTTATCTCCCAACATATGGCAAACATGTCTTTGTCACGATACCTGGTGATTTTAAGATCTTGAAAACTGAGTTCTTAGTTTCTAGTGATTACTTCTTTATACAAAGTTGAAGTTGAAAACAATGTATTTCTTTAAAGAGAGGGACAGGAATGTGAACTTCAATAGCACAAAAAGAATCAAACGCCACACTTGGAAACAAATTTCTCAACCCCAACGCCAAGGAGAGCCAGACATTTCAAATCAATCAGGAATCTGGATCTCAGTTCCAAGATTTGATCTGAGACTAGTAATGTGGTGGACAGAGCATATCAAAGCAAAACAACTTCCTATTTCCCCATAAATCTAAAATTATGAAAAAGCTATTACCAAATATCTCTAACAAGTGTTATGATTCAGCAAGCATTACCGTGTCTAATAGTTAATGATAGTATATGGCCCTAAATCATCACTGTTAAACTAAACTATATTGTTTTGGATAAAAAGCTGTGGAGTCATTCTATGGCTTTTAATCAAGCATCACAGAAAAAAAAAGTTAAAATAAAATTCTGATATCACCGAACTTCTTTTGGAGTTCCTCTTTGCAATATATTTGTTTTCTTTCCATTATAAAAATCATCAGTTTCCTATTTCTTTCAGAGTTCCCCGTTCTCCCAGTGACTCTGATTCATCACATTGAGGGCTTTTCTTCCCTCTAAATTACTTTCCAAATTCCTTTCTACTTGTATTCCTACTACCTTAGACTCAATTAAGCTTCCTAAGTGGTCTTGTGTTTTCCAAACCACTCTGCAATATAACATCACATTAAACTTCTGAAAACATATTCTTTATGAATACCTAGCCCCCCACTTTAAGGACTCTTCACTGCCTGTAGGAAATACTCTAAGTGAGCCAGGCTGGAACTGAAGCTCCTAATAAACGGTACCTAGCCACTAATCACCAACATTATCATCTCCACCAACCAGTTAGGCTCCCCAAAATTCCCTGATAAGACATGCCCATTCCCAGCACCATACCTTTGCTCATGCTATACCCATGAACCCAATGTGTTCTTGGATTCCTTCTACTTATTCAAACTCTACTCTTTTCTCAAATTTCTCTTCAATTCCCAGGTTCTAGCTCATCTTGGAACATGTATAGCATGGAGCTGCCTCTAATAATTACTTTGACTTTGTTTTTGAAATGTGAACTGGAGTTAAGCTTCATTTATATTGGAAGTCATCCGCCCGAAGCACAGAAAGGAAACTTTGTGAGTGAGAATGAATTAATCTTAAATAATGGGTAACATTTTTAAAGGAATTTCTATGTTTTGTCTGTCAATATTACTTTGGAAAGTCAGCATAAGATACAAGATTCCCTCCTCTACTTAAAACATAAATTAGAGGGGTGCCTGGGTGGCTCAGTTGGTTAAGCAACTGCCTTCGGCTCAGGTCATGATCTCAGGGTCCTGGGATAGAGCCCTGCATCGGGCTCCCTGCTCGGCGGGAAGCCTGCTTCTCCCTCCCCCTCTCCCCCTCCTTGTGTTCCCTCTCTCGCTGTCTCTCTCTCTCCCTCTGTCAATTAAACAAACAAACAAACAAACAAACAAACAAGCTTCCTTGGAAAAATGGCCGATTCCAGGTCTGGGGCAGGTCAAGTACAAAATGAATCTGAAATATCTTGTACCAGAAAATAAGGAAGGATTCAAAAGAGGATATGACAAAAGGACAAGGAGCCAGCTTAAAGGGGTCAAATCAGGGATAATGTGAACATCAATAATTACAGTAATAGATTATTACCCAATGAATAAATAATCTATGAATCTATAGTGATATAAATAAATAGGGTAAGAGAAAATCCACAGAAAGTCAACAATAACTGTAGAAGAAATGATGGAGTTTGGCAGCCAATATCATCATAATAATGGATACCAAAATTAGTAAAAGTTTTACAGAAATATGTACGTAGTCTAAAGATATCTCCCTATAAACAGAGTAATTACAGAGGGGAAAATGGTAACTTTACAGGGGCAAACCCAGCAGACACAATCTTAACCACATGATCAAAGATAAAGCCCAGTAATGGGACAAACCTCATATGCTTTCTGATCTATTCCAATGAAAAGAACAGAGCATCATTTCTACAGTATTCTTGCCAAAATGTATTACCTGAACCCACAAACTCAAATTGAAGAACATTCTACAAAGTAACTGGCTGATACAGATCAAAGAAAATGTCAAGGTCTTGAAAGACAAAAACAAAAAGCACAAGACCACGAGTCCATATGAAAGAGGCTAAAGGGATATAATGGAATAAAATTCATGATCTCGAATTTCCTTCTGCCAAATAGGATATTATTGGAACAACTGGCAAAATCTGAATCACCTCCATAGATAACAATGTTGTATCAGTGATAATTTCCTGACTTTGAGAACTGCACTGTGGATATGTAAGAGAATGTGCTTGTTTTTAAGAAACATACCTTGAAGCATTTAAGGGTAAAAGGATAGCATCTATGCAGCTTACTCTTAAATGGTTAAAAACAAAAAAATACACACATGTTGTTTGTGGCTAATGATATCGAGCATCTTTTCAAGTGTTTATTGGCTATTTGTAGGTCTTCCTTGGAGAAGTTTATCCAGATCCATTGCCCATTTAAAAATTAGATTGTGCTCTGTATTATTGTAGAGTTCTTCTCAACTTCCTTTTAATACATTTCTTTCCTGCTAAACACTGCCAGAGTCCATTGCTTGCACCCAAGAGCCCTGACTGAAACCCACTGCCTTCCCTTTTTGTTATTCTTATTAAGGTTTCAAGGCAAATTGTGTGAGCAAATTCTGAAAATAAATGCTGAAGAGGTCATAGCTTTGTGAAAAACAGAAGAGAGGGCAGTATGTCTAAGAACAAAAGTTATGTGTGCATCCATATATAGGATATGTAGAATAGAAAACTTTTTGGAGGCCTCATCATTTTACTATTCAGTTTGGGGTTTACGTAGTGCTGTACATAAGCTAAGCCTGTATGAATTTCATTGATTTCAGCAGCCTTTACTCGACTATGAATGTCCATTGAAACACACGTATTTTAACATACTGCCTTTAAGTTTGCTTTATGCTAAGATTCAGAATCAATTAACATTTACTGACCATGTAACATGTATCAACTGGTAGACTACGAAAAACAGAGAAAATGCAAAACATCTGTTGTAGAAAAACTCCGCAAGTTGAAGGAGACATACAAGGATTTGTAGGTAGCAGTACTGTTCAGCTGAGGCTGCAGAGACCGTGGATATGGAGTGGCAGGATCTGTCAGCATGGCTGTGGAAAGGTCTGAAGCAGCCTAAGCTGGCCTGGAAAGACTGGAGAGAGCCAGGGTTAGCGGCTTTACGACGCAGGTAGGACAGAAGGACAAGAGGGAAGGGAGTTTGTAATAAGCCATGGGGCCTAGATTGGATAGGGAAGAAAGCAAAGCAGCAGGGGGCTGATGAAGGCAATAAAGAGTATGAGCAAAGCGTTCTAGGTCTCAGTCAAATGGAAGACAAGGGTAGAAGCATCAAGGAAATGAGTGAACTGAAAGTTAAGTCATGCCAGGTAGTGCAAAGTGGGTTGGGGAAGGGGACTGGAACCATTAAAGGAAGGAACAGGCCAGTTAAACAAGACTGGACTCTGTTGTTGAGGGCAGCCTGTGATGGAAAAGGGTTTAATAAAGCTGTTTTCAAAATCGTAAGATTTTCATTAAAACTAAGTATTTGTCCTAAAAGACAAGCAGTACAACACACACTAATAAATCTGCAGGCTGAATGCTCTGTAGGAAGACAGGTGTGCAGCCCAGGGCCATGGCACCATATGCAAGCTAACAAGGAGAGGTGAGGGCCCACATCAGCACACTGTGAGCTAAGTCTGTGATCTGCTGACAAGCAAAGGATGATGTCAGCAGTGGTAAGCATGAGGACTTTCTTTCTTTTTTCCTTTTTTTTTAAGATTTTATTTATTTGAGAGAGAGAGAGAGACAGAGCATGAGCAGAGGGGAGGAGCAAAAGGAGAGGAAGAAGGAAACTCCCTGCTGAACGAGGAGCCCGATGTGGGGCTCAATCCCAAGACCCTGGGATCCCAACCTGAGCCAAAGTCAGCTGCTTAACTGACTGAGCCACCCAGGTACCCCAAGCCATGAGGACTTTCTGAAGACTCTGGAGGTCTTCAATTCATTCACTGACTCTGTAGATAGGTAGTCTCATTATATTGTGCAAGGCATATTACATTATCTGAGCTTGCTTCATTTCACCCTAATGAGACAGAGGTAAATGACTAAAGAGCAGCTGAATTCAAAGAGGACTTCACAAAGACAGTTCAGGATCATGGCAAGGCTCAGTATTAGCTTCCTGCTGTCCACATCTGTAGCCTCTATGCTCCATTGTCACCCGAGCATTCTATTCAAATAGCACCCAATTGCCATCTAACTGCTAAATACAACAGGCTCTCAGGACCTCTCTGCTGGATTGATCCCAGCCCCAAGCACACTCTACTCAGTTGAGCCTGGCTCCACATCCCTCCGGTGTTCCTTCTGT